TTTAAATAAAAAATTAAATCAAGGGAAGAAATCAAATGGATTTAAATAAAAAGACAAATTAAAGAAGAATATAAGTTAATTAAATAAAAGCGAAAAGAAAAGAAAAGAAAAAAAACAAATGGAAATTAAAGAAAAAAGTAAGAATAAATTTACACAATTATAATATATATATATGTGTATATAATACTTACAAATGGAATAGAGACAACGATGTTAGCATTTCCTTCACCGCGATAAATGCAATCCTTCGCGGATAGACTTTCAAATGAAACGGAAATCGATGATGAATCGACTTCGTGCCTCGAACTTCCGCCATGGATCATCATTGATCTTATCTCATCCTTTTCGTCTCGTCGAATCATGATTATTCTTATCCGATTGTCTTTTATAATGGGAATATTTTCTTTTCTGCAATGATACAAAAAGTAATGACGATAAATGAAACTTTAAATCGTGAATAAACTCACTCTGTGTTGTTTGTGTGTTTGTGTGTATATATATATATATATATATATACATACTAGTAAGAATATGGATTGTTATTTTGTTTTAAAAACTATTATTATATTTAATACGTCAATAGTTTTATTTATAATACTTATAAAGTTCGATTATATATATATATATATCGATGTATATCGAAATCAACCGATCGACATTTGAATTTCCACACGATTTCTATATCATATGTATATATATATATATATATATATGTGTGTGTGTGTGTGTGTATGTGTGTGTATGTGTGTGTGTATTTGTAAAACGTGAAACGGGCTGAGTAACGCTTGGCCTTTGCCTGACTTTCACCGATTCGATTTTTTCGATCCTGACTACTAAAGTTGAGAAATGTCACGGCTGTGCAAATCTTGACCGAGCTCTTATCTATTTTTTTTTTGCCTTTTTTGTTTTTTTCTTTCTTACTCTCTCTCTCTCTCTCTCTCTCTTTCTATCTCACTCTTACACACTGTTAATTCACATCATTTTTCTTTTTTTATATCTATTTCTATTTCTATTTCCCGTTCAACACCTTTCATAATACTCGTCCTCCTTCGTAAATAATTTATCCTATAGAAATATTCAATTTTTTCTCGTGTTAAATACCTTTTCTCTTTTTTTTTTTATTTTTTTTTTGTTCAAACATATTTCTTTTTTCTTTTTATGTGTGTGTCATCTATTTAAAATAATTATATAATAATTCATATTTTTTCACATAATACAAATAAAATATAGTATATTGTATTTTATCGTATGTTTGTATTTTTTTTTTTATTTTAAAAATTATTACTCCTACGTATTTTTTTTATTTTCGATGATTTTTTTTTTTTAATCATATTTTTAATTATTTCTCTTTGATTCGATAATTTTAAGACAGAAAGAAATAGTTAAATATTTATTTTACGAAAGATTATATCAAAAAAAAATATTTAACAATAAGATAGAAAAGAAACGAAAAAGAAAGTAATAGGGAGAGGGTGGTAGGGAAGACAAAAAAAAAAGAAAATGTAAAGGGAGGAAGGAAAAGGGCTCGTAAAAAATCAATGTTTAATTATCCTCATGCCAGACGCAATGACAGCAGAGTTTCGTGCTACCCTTTGTGTATCTTCTTCTTTTCTTTTTTTTTTTTATTCTCTTCGCGGATTTTACTACTCCTTCTGCTCTCTCGTCTATGACGAGAAGGACCGAACAAAAAAAAAGGAAAAAAAAAAATAAACGGGGGGGTATTAAAAAGTTCGTATAAACGCGTCTACGAGACGAAATGTTTTTTTTCTTTCTTTTTTTTTTTACCGAACTTAAAGATAAATAATTTTATATATATATTCGATGCATAATAATAAATCCTTAACGAAGATATTACAAATGTTTATATTATAATATTTAAAAATCCGAGAAGAGGGTATATTAATATTTCAATTTTTTTTTTCTCGAATTTTCGATATCACAAAATCTTGCAATTATCCTTTCTCAAAGTGTTCCTCCTCCTTCTCCAACCCCTTCCTACCTCTTTCATTTCAATTCACGAGGCCGTTACAACCTCATCATAATCATTTATTATTATTATTAATATTTATTTAGTATTTCTCTCGTCCAAAAATTACAATTTTTAATGATGATTTCACAGGGAACTTGGACATGAAAGAAGTAGAACTATGTTTGATTTAGTTGGACGTTTCGTCCCTTTATTGRGACTTCTTCAGCAACTGGAAAATTTATTTTCTTACATTTYTCATTACGATACATGCGTTTTATACAATAWAATTTATTACATATTACCTTAATCATCAAAGTTCAGCGTCTTTTTTATTTAATTTCTGTGAAATCATTTTATTAATCCCTGTGAAATCATCATTAAAAATTATTAATATTATTATTATAAGCAGAACGTTATAAAATATAGGAACGTGTATACGTATATATAGAAATATAAATAAGTATTTTTACGCAGTTAGTAAAAAACAGCACACACACATACACGACGGAACGTTTGCTGGCTGAATCACACGAAAAATCCAGTCTTGTGATTTTTTTATTTTTTATTTTTATTTGTTTCTTTTTTCCCCTACTCGCGCGGATGAAAAAGTTGACCCGAATCGTGATCTAACGTCTTCCCCCCTCTCAATCCACCACCCACTTCTCCCCCTTCTCCTACTTTCTTCTTTCTTCTCTTTATTTCCCCCCCACAACTCCTAGCCACACTCTGATCCCTCAAACCAAACCCTAATCTCACTTCCACTTCTTCTCTCACTTCTTCTTTTCCACCATTCTTCATCATCATTTCAGAAGCTAATTAAACCTTTTAGCGAGGCCCTTACTAAACTTTTTGACGAGTAGAGGTGAAAAAAGAATTTTGTCTTTTATTTTTTCTTTTGTCATAAGACGTTTTTATCATTCAGGATAATAATATCCAGAGTTCGAGAATTGTTTGTAACCGATTATGGTTTTTTTTTTTTTTTGTCGTTTTAAAGATAGGGATGAAAATTGAACGACGTTTTTTATCCACCAATCAATCTCAACCTTTCTTTCTTTTATTTGATTTTTTTTTTCTTTTCTTTTCTTTTCTTGAGAGAGAGAGAGAGAGAGAGAGAGAGAGAGATCTTCCTATCTTTTCGTTTGATCGTTATAAGGAGGAAAGAAAGATTAAAGGATTATTTTCCTGGCAGACGTAGGATGAACGAACTGATGGTGTAGGAGGAGGAAGAGGAGGAGGGTGAGGAGGAGGAGGAGGAGGAATCATGGCATTGCCGAGAATAATCCCATTACAAGGCCAGTTATCTTATTATACTGCTCGTTGTCTTTAATTCCGATTCTTTACTATGTATGGGTTTTTTCTTTTTTTTTTCTCTCTCTCTCTCTCTCTATTTTTTTCTATTTTTTTATTTTTTCTTTCCTTTTCTTCGTAATGAACACGTATAGACTAATGTAACACGTGTGGGTTTTTAAAGTTTGATTACAAAAATGGTCAATAATTAAAGGATTTATTTATTATTCCGATTGGAATCGATAAATTCTTTCCGATTTATATCTGTTTCCTTTTTTTCCTGTTTTTTTTTTTTTTTTTAAATCGGATACAAACATTTTCCAGGTAACTTAAATAGGGTATCGGTATTTTATACTGTGTATGCGTGTGTTTGTGCGTGTTCTTTTTTTAATTAAAAGAAAAAAAGGAATAATTGGATTTATTACCTAATTGAACTTAAACACAACGGACTAAATTATATTTTGTATAATTTTCCCATCACCAGTAGGTCAAATGTTGTATTTGTCTAATTAACCGATAGGGTTTCATTGTATATATTGCGTGTACACAATAGTTAGGTCAGTTATAATAATTAAGAGTAATTATATTAATGTATATATATTAAAGTACATTTATATTAGTTATTCTAGTAATATTTTAACAGTTAAATTGTAAATTGTATATTAACAAAGAGAGAAATAGGATATAATATAATATTATAAAAAGAAAAAAAAAACCCCTCTTTTAAAAACTCGTGTAAAAATATAATGTAATAATAAAAACAATATAATTTTAATGATCTCAGAGATTATCGTATGAAATACAAAATCGTAAGGAAAATATTTAATATCGACGTTAACAAACTCGTACCAAAAAAAAAAAAATATTGAAGCGTGTGATAATAATAAAGACACGTAGAATTGTTTTTTTATCATCTTAGAATTGTTGTGTAGAATACAAGAAAAATCATTTAAAAAAAAAAGCTAATATTAACAAACATTTTTTCATGTAGGATTGTAAAATTCGCGAATATTTTCACACTGGGTAGGTGGTGCATAGAAGAGGATGTTGGAAAGAGTTAAAAGAAAGGAAGGTATGAATATGGGTAGGAAGAAGAAGATGAAGGAAAGGAGAAGGAAGTGGAGGTGGTGGTGGGAGGGGGTGGGAACGGGGGGAGGAACCCTTAAACACTCTCGCTCGAACGTCTTATCCATTTTCGCGTAAGGTCGACGAACTCATCGGACTTTGCGAAACTTCGTGGGTCTCTTTTATAGTATGCATCTATATATCCACATATATGTATAATATGTGTGTGTGTGTGTGTGATATCTCGTACGATGTGCCATTCGCGTAATTGGAAACGCCGCATTTAGTTTCGCAGCGTGCAGAAATAATATCACATGTATATTCTCTATCTATCTTTTTCTATCTTACTCTTATATTCTCATTTTTTATTTTCTATATAATTAATATATATATATAATTATCTCTCACAA